AACCTATTTATCAGTTTTGTGAGACCCTATAGGTCAGTTAGTAAAAGTACAATTTCACGTTGGGTTAAAAATGTTCCCCTGGCAACCATTCTTCGTACAGCAGGCTGGTCCAGTGAATGTACCTTTGTGCAGTATTATCAGAAAGAGGTGCAAAAATAGGGCACTTATGCTACTACTATTTTAAATAGTTCATTGTGAAAACTGTAGTTTCTATGTCAATGATGATCATACAGTCTTTACTGTTTGATAGTTCTCTTGGTCATTTAACTTGTTGAGTTCGAATATTTGGGTTCACAAATGCTGTCTCTCAACATCTCATGGGATCCCTACACTGAGGATGATGGGATAGAATTGGAAAATTAAACGAGACTTACCTGTAAGTTGAAGTTTAATATGGATTCTATCCCATCATCACGAAGTGTAAAGGGGTCACATGCCCACCCTGTATATTTTCTGTCTGGACCCACCTAGGATTTTATGACCAATTATGTGTCGCATTTGTTCACTCTCTCAAATTTTGAATTCTGGGATTGGATGGTGCAATCTCATGTGATCCCTTTACACTTCGTGATGATGGGATGGAATCCATATCAAACTTCAACTTACAGGTAAGTCTCGTTTAATTTTCCAATTAATCTCTCTTCTTGATGGGTCGGGAGGGTAGGGGGAGCCCATGGGGGCAAAATACGAATAGTAATTGATTTTTGGCGAATGGGGAAGTGCCGCCCAGTTTTCCAAATCTTGACCAAGTTTCAGGGCAAAATGTTATTCAGTCCCTGACAATGTCTGAAAAAGTATCTTATTATAGGAAATTAACGCTCGTGTTAATTACACCCAAAAACACAGAATTTTTTGAGAACACGAACAAATGTATTTTACTAATGTGAAAGATTGATGTGCAGTGTAAAGTGCGCGAATAAAATTTACTGTTTGGCTGTGTCAAGAATGTCTGGAGTGTGTCACAGATTTGGGGGAAAATAATGACAGTAGGTGCGCGCGCTGTGATTGGTCAATTTAGCGGGCCGTATTCTGCTGTACAGCTCGCTAAAATTTAAAGCTGTTTTTGTTGCCAAAATGTTTCGTGATTTTTCGCCGAGTGTTCTTAACTTTTTAAGCAAGTAAAAGTTTAAAACGTTCTTTAATTTCTGAAATGTGGTATTAAAACCTGCTGACGACTTAAGAGTCACTGACCAACGATTTCAAATTGGCTCGTTTCGCTTTCGAGGTGCGTCAGAAATTTGAAGCTGTTCCGCGTGAATAGAAATCGTTCCGGAACCCGTCAGACACACGGTAGAGATATAATAAATATCTTACCAACCTCTTTTTTTTCGGTCCGTATTGTAAGTTACGGATCCTCGTTTTTCCCCTTCGATTTATGGCCCGCGCGCTTCTCGCTTAGGCCTTAAATCGATGGGATAAAATTCGGTCCGTAACTTACAGTACGGCCCTCGAACTCGCTTAGTAAGAGGTATCTATACCATTATGGCTGAGCCATTGAAAACCCTTGAAATGCATTATCCAATGATCCAGTTTTTAATCAACAAATTAGAAAATGATCATTGGATAATGCAATTTAAGAGCTTTCAATGGCTTAGCCATCATGGTATGTGAGCCATCATACCATGCTCTACAGTTAATAGCGTCTTTTTTATATATCATCTTAGGTTTTTATATTTTTGGGGCGTTTTTAGTGAAAAAAATTATTTCACCGTAGTCGC